ATGAGCCGTTTATTTTGAAAATGGGGCAAGTCCAATTTTTGTTATTGCGAGATATTTAAAGGTTTGCATTTCAATAAATTTAAAAATATTGGTAAGTATTAATAGATATATTTTTAATATTTTGTGGTACCAGATAATGTAAGTTTATAATCCAATAGTGTTTACAGTGCTGACTAAAAAAAGTAAGAGTTTCATTATAACTAAATGGACTTGCCTCACTTTCAAAATTAATGAATTATTGTAATCGTTCATTTAATTGGGAATTTTTTCAGTTGCATCAGCCTTTTTTTAATAATAAAAACGAAATACTATTCAAATTTTTATAAATATTTATTCATTTGATAAAAACTGACACAAAACAAAGAATATTCTAGTAGAAAGTATAACATAACCAAAAAAAAATTCAGTTTTATTAAGAATTTCAATGAAATTATACATTTTCAGTTTATACGTAGGTATAATTAAATGAATTTTATTCAGGATTTAACATTTTAAATATTCATGATGAACGGGAGGTATATATGGTAATAAATCCATCATGTCCTTGTATTTTTCAGATGTAATAGATCTCTGTTTTTCATACAGAAAAGATAACTTTATATTTCCGAAATTACTTGGTCTTCCTGGTTGTGGTGACAAATCGATAATTTTAAATTCAGCATCTCGTTCTATCGAAGTTTTGTAGAACATTTTGTATGGTGCATCCCTTGTAAATCTGATCCAGCATATATTTAACCAATTCATGGTTTCTCCATCGGTATTTTTGTTTCTTTTTAAAATTGCTTTCCCCAGAGGTTGGGTTGAAAAAAAAATTTTGCGTTTTATTTCATGTACTAAAAATTTATTATGTTTTCGACAATTTCGTATTAGTTTATAGTAATCCTGGGGAATATACAAGGAACTGGCTTTCCGGATTGTCATTTCTACCACTCCAAAATCACGATCGTTCGGTAAAAATGAATGTCCTGACAATAAAACTTTGTGATTAATGATATTTATTTTATTGTCACCAGACTGAACAATTTTCATCCACATTAAGGCCTAACTTTATGTTTCTATTTCGGCCAGTGTACATGTCACTGTAAGATATAATGTGTTTTTGGGTTGTCACAGTCTGTAAGTGTTTCAAACAGCAAGATGCTACTTCTTGTGCTCCTCGGGAAGCTATAGTTTCATCCCAAACATACATACTAACTTCATCATTATGAAAATTGTGGAAGCCTTGATTCAATACATACATAATTCCGCTTATATTTCTCGGTGTTGGAAGTAAACCTATTATTATCGAAACACAAAATTAAGATATACTTTTTGTTATTTATGAAATATTGTACAACCACCGACTTTCAATATCAAAGATAGATAGATAGAAACACCCTAGATTTCAGACATAATGTCAAACGGCCACATTTCTTCACCATACAGCAACCGGAGCTAAATTTTGCCGTAATATATGCGGTCAAAAATAATTTCAATTTAAGATGGACTTGCACCACTTTCAAAATAAACATATTTTCAATACTGTTAAGAGCTAAAACTTCCATCTCCCAAATACTAGAATCTGAATTTTTTTTTACTATAAATTGTTTACGCATAAAAAGATCATAACAAGTTTTATCTATAACTACCATTATCTCCATTTTTTTCAAAAATGGACTTGCCCCACTTTCAAAATAAACGGCTCATATATT